ATGAAGTAACGATGCATATACCAGTGATGAAGTAACGATGCATATACAAGTATGTATCAATTTTCAACAAATGATCATGAGCGGATCAGAATTTATGGGCAGGAGTGGTAAAAACCTTGTTTTAACTTTGTAACCTTGTCATTGAAGCCGGGGTGATGAAGAGTGTACGCCACACTCGGTCTAACGATGATACGAATATGCATCAAGTTCCATTAAATGATCTTGAGCAGGTCAGAAGTTCTGGGCGAGACAAGCAAAGACCTCATTTGAACTCTACGGTGTGGAAAGTGACATCATCTTGCAAAAACAAGCAAAATGTCCCTTGAAATGGAAATGGCAGCATTTTCTGATTGTGAGGAAGTTACTCATTCATGCACCTCCATGCTATCATGGATGCTGTTCATGACAAGCTGAATGTGGTCCTTCAAGTGGTGGACAATGATGCAACCCTTTTAACTTCAGAACTCTAGCAACTGTTTCAAGTGTTTCTGATTTTTTTTGGAATCAGCAGATACCTTGGATATCGACAAATTAGGAAGACGCCGGCAGCAGTTTCAGCCATGGTGAAGCTGCCAACCTCATGTGAAGGTTTAAGTCGTGCTTCAAGCTCTCAGACTCATATGCTTTGCGAGCTCCCCGGAACTCGCCAGCATGATGGATTCGACCCTGGAGAAAAGCTAACAAAGCACGGACCAGCGGAATGTCCACAAATCTGGCTGTTTGGATTCACCATCAAGAGTTCCAGCAGAACTGAAGGCAGACAGGAACCAGAGTCTGCCTGCCCCAGCAGCAGTTGTTGTTATCTGAATCTGGCCTCTCCGCTCGGCCTTGGAAGGACAACTTATGTCAAATTGCTCCTGGTGGATATGTAAATACAGAAGCTCTGCTCTGTCGTCCCCAAGAACTTCTATGAATGATTATCAGAGCTGTACCGGCTGAGAGACACTGTAGCATCTTATCAGGACTACGGAAACTATCTGGAAGTGCTCATGGACAAATCTCACCGTCTTGTCGTCCATGCATATGTATTATGTCTATTTATGCTGCTTGCTGTGGTAGATTCTTTTGATACCTTAAACCATGCCCCGTCAAGAACACGATGTGAGAGATCTTTTTATATTTAATACCTCTCTCTCCTTACTGTATGTGTCTTCCCTTGTTCTTATCTAAGCAATAAGGACAGCGCTTCATAGAAGCTGCAGCCTCTGTACACTCATGTCCATCTTTAGGACGGCTGTACGGAACGTTGTACTTAACTGTGCAATGACAATACAGCTTATTATGATTCTGAACTGTCTTCAGGAACAAGGAAAATTACAATATTTACATTTAAATTTGAGGAGATGTTAACAGCGGCAGCACGGTGGTGTAACTGGTAGAGCTGCTGCCTCTCAGCGAGCAGGTCCCCAGTTCAAATCCCGGTCCGGGGGCCTTTCTGGGTGGAGTTTGCATGTTCTCTCCATGATGAGTGGGTTTTCTCTGGATACTTGGGTTTCCTCCCACAGACCAAAAACATGCATGTTAGGCTGACTGGTAACTCTAAATTGTCCCTGGGTGTGAGAGAGAGACTTAATAGTTGTTTGTCTCTATGTGTCCCTGTGATGGACTTGCGACCCATCCAGGGTGTACCCCGCCCCTCGCACAGTGATTGCTGGACATGGGCACCGGCGACCCCCGTGACCCAAAATGGAAGAAGCGGGTAAAAGATAATGGATGGAGATGTTAACAGAGTTTTTAGGGTTCAACCCTTTTAAGAACAAAAGAGAAAACTTCTTTCAGGTGACGTTATTTAGTGATGCGATATTTGTCTAAAAATATTGTATACGTACTACAGTCGGGGATGTGACAGTAGTCCCACTTCTTGGAGGTGTCCGTTGTGTAGCACCACGGTCCATTTGCATCACCGTCTGGGTTTCTGCAGCTCTGATTGAGATTTAAGGACAAAACGAAGAAGAGAAAAAGTGAAAACTTTGTATTTTTCTTTTACCTTAATACGTTTATATAAAACTCACACATACTTACATTGCCCTCCAGACCTTTAGTTGGGTGAGTTTGTGGTGTGAAGGACGTGTGCTGGTGTGGGCTCTGAGCACTCCACGCCTGGCAAGTCACTCCCAGATTTGTCATGGAGGTTGAACCTCGGTATGTTTCCCCATTTCCAACCTTGCAGTCTGAAACAACGAATTAGTGTAAAGGTGAGGCAGGTAAATAAAAAGAACCAAGACTTTACAAAGTTAATGTACCTTCTTGTGCAGGGGTTGAGGTGGGCACATGACCAGGAGGCTTTGTGGATGGTACACTTGTAGTCTTGGAGCATTTTTCCAGCTTACAATATTCCCAACGAACTTTGGGATCCATAGTGTAACACCAGGGGGCCTGGTCTCCATCGGGGTTCCTGCACAGATTCCTCCTGAGGTCCCTGTTCAAAATAAAACAATCAGGACAAAAGATATCACAACTTGTTTTTTTTACTCCTTGAATCAAACTAGAGTCAGAGTTTCTTTGTCATTCCATGACATGTGGTGGAACGAAATTATGTACACAGGGCTAGCTAGACTCGTTGTTTGTGATGCATCCCACCACCGCTGTATCACCTGCAAACTTTACAATGTGACAGCCTGGATGGGTAGCTGCACAATCATACGTGAGCAGAGTGAACAGGAGAGGGCTCAGCACACAGCCCTGAGGGAAGCCAGTGCTGAGGGTTATGGTGGAGGAGGAGAAGTTGTGGATCCTCACTAACTGTGGTCTGTTTGTTAAGAAGTCTAGGACCCAGTTGCAAATGGAGGGGCTTAGTCCTAGTGTGAATAGTTTGTCCATCAGGGTTTGGGGGATCATGGTGTTGAAGGCAGGCGTGAAGTCCACAAAGAGCATACGGACGTAGGAGTCCTTTTGCTCCAGGTGGATCAAACGCCTCATTGCCCTTTTGCCTTCGGTGTTGGGCAGTAATAATAATAAAGCAGCATGATGGATCAGTGGTTAGCGCTGTTGCCTTGCAGCAAAAAGTCGTAGGTTCAATCCCCGGTTGGACCTGGGGTCTTTCTGTGTGGCGTTTGCATGTTCATCTCATGCTTGTGTGGGTTTTCTCGGGTACTCCATTTTCCTCCCACAGACAAAAAACATGCATGTTAGTTTGCCTTCAGGCCAAGGCCTCCGTTGCAAAAGAGTTCTGTGATCTCAGTGGCATTTGCCTGTTTAAATAAAGGTTAATAAAATTAATTAAAGCCTGTTTTTGTGTAACGCGTTTCCATATCGGACAACTTTACTTTGTAATTACACATTTTATGATATTAAAGAAATAAAAACTTCTCTTCCTGCAAAACGTCAGTTTTGTATTGAATGTACCGAATCTGTGTGTCTCTGTGAAGAGAATACATACAGTTCAATCAGCATAAACATCCCCTGAGCTGTTTTGAACCACGTGCACTCACGCTGTGGGGAACTGTTCTGGAGTTTTTTGATGTGAATGAGGAACTTGGCCGCTCCACCACTGGCATTTTTTCCCACTGACAGTTTCTGACGTTATTCCTCGATAAGTGGAGCCGTTCCCCTCGTAGCAGTCGTCCTCTTCTGTGGGGATCACAGCTTCGTCTGCAGAGAGAAATCAAAACATGATGGTTTTTCACGTGGCGCAGGAAACATCTGCATTTATTAATGTTTAGAGTCAACTCAGCCCAAAAGGTTTGTCACAACTAACTGTCCTTATCTTACACAAAACCAGAGTATAAACTTTACAGATAGTCAGCTCAACTTTGATGCAGTAATTGAGACTCGTTCCAAACTCTTTGCACTTAATGGTCGTGTAGGGCAGGACATAAAATTTTTAGAGTTAACCAAATTGATCATACTGCCATTATCCCTCATCAAAAGATGATCTTAGTTTAAAAATGTTGCATGATATGAAAAAGTCCTATTTCTTTACAGAGTGAGATTTAATTATACTGCAACCAGCCAGTAGGGGGCACTCGTTTTGTTTCAGCTCCTGCATTCTTGTCCATTTAAGTTTTTTATTCATTCTGTAGCTAATCAAGAGAAAGAGGTGGAAGGTTCACGTTAAGCTTCAGACACATTTTAATCTGCTACAGAGGAAACTAAATAACAAAATAAACCTCTTCAAAAGTACTGAAATAAGCTGAAGTGAAAGTCTATAAAAACATCACAAAATAAGGAACAAAGTTTGATGATGTAATACATTTAATCCTGCTCTCAGACAATATTCAGTTTTATGCACTTTAAGTCTGAAAATAAACACTTTAATTCTGATATCATCGTCTGATGATGAGTCAAAAAGGCTTTAAATCATTTTATTTTGAAACAGTTCAGACTTCAGCCGTACCTGGGTCAGGGCTGTTTTGGCAGCGTGGCACATTACAGTGCTGCCATCGAGTGTTGGGGTCGGTGGTGTAACACCAGGGCTTCCTCTCATTGTCAGGGTTACGACAATAGTTACCGTCTAAGCCTCTGACAAGAACAAATAAATATTAGACTGGGTTTATCTGTACTGGTTGAAACGTTTTATTGTACTCGTTTTCTTCAAGTTTCTCTTACTTGCAGGGGTAGTTTTCAGGTGAGCGGTTGTGTCTGTGCGGTGTCTGAACCGACCAGCTCTGGCACGTTTTACCGCTCTCCGTTACAGCCACTGTGCCACGGTACGCTTTACCCTCACCGGTCATACAGGTCAGCTCAGGGACAATGGTGGGAGGCTCCGATGCTGAAAACAGAAGGCAGTTGGCAAAGTTCAAGAACATGTAATGCATTCCAGGCTCTTTACTGGGTACCATTTGCACCAGTTTAGCTCCAAAATCTGCAACCATTTTTTATCCTCCATTTCTACCTCGTATTCTAAAGGAAATATGGTTCTTATATATATATATATATATATATATATATATATATATATATGTATAT